CCCCAAAACCCCAAAACCCCAAAACCCCAAAACCCCTATTTACTTTCAGACTAATGAATTTCAGTATAATTATTATATAATTAATATTATAAGAATGCTGAGTAAGCTTGCATTGACCAAGGCTGGGCCAAAGAAGATGGTTTGGCTGGCAATCAGGAACTTCGGACATGGTCCTTATAACCCATTGCATTATAAGCATGCTATGATTCCAGAGAAGTTGCCGACTACTGAGGATATGTATGCTAATATTAAGACCTTCCATTCTGAGCCACCTCCTCCAATTTACAATATGAGGTACTTGCATCCAGTCAGGCAGTCTGGACCAATCCCTCCTTATGATGGTGCTTGGACAATGGAAGATGTCAAGAAAATTTGTGCTAACATGAGTGTTCCATATGATCACTGTGCTTAATCAACTGATGTCGAAGAGTTAATGAGAAGAGCCCCAGGACTTACAAGTAAAGAAGCTTTAAGAATCCAGCAGCTCGGTCTCAACCCAGATGAAGAAGTCGATTTTGCTTACCTCACTGTCAATATGGGTCTTGATGTATTTTACGAAAGGAATCAAGCTTATATTGCAAGACAAGTAGTCACTAATTCTAAAGGTGAAAAAGTAGAAATTTTATGGCCATGTGCTACTTATGATGAAATGACTAACATGTCTTTCGGTACAGCAGAGGTTTGGGAGTATCATGAAAACCCTTGGGATCCAATTCCAGGAGAATTACCTATTAGAATTCATCCTGACTATGATCTTGGTGTTCCATACACTTGGTTTGAGTACGAAATGGATAACAGATTCCATGCTGCCATCACTACTGACCAGCAATACATCCCAGAAGATGAGAGACCATTCCCATTAGATAAAAACCCACATTGCCACAAGTATATCTGGAGGCCACAAGAAGACATGCAGAACGATGACAGAATGAGAGACCCTGATTGGTACCCAGAAGACACTCATCAAAACATTTACAACAGAAGAGGTTTCAAGAAGGCAGAGAACCATCTGAAGGAATATTTGCCAAAACTATTATTCTGAAAATTTGCTCTTAGTAAAATTTGGACATTTTACTTGAGCCTTGAGAATAGATGCCACCAAGTAAAGCCAGATCTTAAAGACCTATCAGTAGGGAATGTGATTTATTGGCGCATGATAAATAAATTTATTATTAAACGCTGTTCAAAACTCAGAGTTAAAGAAGGGGTTTTGGGGTTTTGGGGTTTTGGGGTTTTGGGG